GTTCTTCCTCTTTTTCTCTGACCCTCCACCTTACCAAACATGATATCCTTCTCTAGTGACTGGTCCCTCCTGACAATATGTCTGAAGTATGAGAGACTAAGTTTGGCCATCTTGGCCTTCAAGGAAACAAAAAATTTAGTAGGTAGATCCTGATGATTTCCCATTAAAATTCTTGCAAAATTGCTCTTGTTTGATGAAAGAAATGAGCTGGAGCATTGTCATGGTACAAAGAAATCGCTGATGAAAACACTCTCCTATTTAGCAGGTATTGTTCCTTGGCCCTCTAAAAAGTCAACAAGCAAAATACCTTGAGCATTCCCCAAAACCCTCACCATGACCTTTGCTCTAGACTGTTCCACTTTTGCTTTTACTGGATCACTTCCACCTCTTGGTGGTCATTGCTTTGATTGTGTTTGGTCTTCATGGTCAGACTGGTAAAGAAAATGACGTTTCATCCCTGTCATAATTCTTCCAAGAAATATTTCGGGATCTTGATTCCACTTGTTTAAAAAAATTTCGATTGAAAACTTTGCTCTTGATCTGAGCACCACAGTTCTGGCAGCCATCAAGTGGGAAGTTTGCTTAACTTCAATATTTCAGTCAGACCAGACTGTAAAAGCTGTACAAACTGAGCTGTCTATGATGTTGGATATTGTTGTGGTTGCTATTCAGTGGTCCCAGTCAATTAGGGCAGGGCCAATACTGGTTGTCTCCTCTCTAATTGACGTGGATAGTCTGCTGCTGTGAGCATTAGTATGGTCTTGTCCCTTCACACCAGTTACCTGTTTGTAAACTGCTGAGTTCATTTGAGTCTTTGCATAAAACATGAATGATTTTACCATTTTTTCCACCCAGACTTCACCATTAATTTAATATGTTTGGTTTTGGTTCAATTTTAGCAGAATTCATGTTCTTCTTAAACTGAAGTTTAGCGCCTAAACTGGATCCCATTTAGACATGCTATGACAAATTGTTGAGTGCCATCAAGTCAGTTCTGACTCATAACAGCCCTGTCCAAGTTTGAACTACAGACCTTGAGGTTAGCAGTCCAGTGCTTATCATGCAGCATCACATTTGTTGTTGTTGTTGTTGTGAAGTTCCGTTGAGATTGCTTCTGACCCATAGCGACCCTGTATAGGTTTCCAGGGAGCAGCTGGTGAGCTTGAACTGCCAACCTTGCAGGTGAAACGGCTTTGCAGTCTGGCGCATTAACCTACAGCTCCACACCAGGATTCCATTAGAACGAGTTTATTTTGTTGCATAAATATTTTGAAATCCATGCAGAACCTAACCTAGCCACTGCCATTGAGTCAATTCCGACACAAAGTAGTCCTTTGGACAGAATAGAACTGTTCCCTGGGGATTCCAAGATTGAGTCTTTGTGGGAACAAACAACCTCATCTTTCCCCAGCAGAGTAACTGGTAGGGTTGAACCGCTGACCTTGGGGTTAGTAACCTATTGCTTTACCTACTGAACTTTCCTGGACAAAAGTGTTGCTGCAAGTGTTCCAGTGCTTACCCTGTAACACCTCATCAGAAAACCAGTGGTAGCAAGTAAACTAAATTAGTTTTTGCCAATGTGGGATTGAGCCCTATAAGAGTATTGATTTATGATCTGGGAAGCTATTGTCTGTCTTTATAGCTATAGTTTCTACCAGAAAAATAGAAAGCAATATAGTTTTAAGAGTACATTAATCTCTGAGAAGTTTAACTAAATGAAACCTTTATGAAGCAAACACTGCTCTTCTTGACTAATAAGATTTAAATGTGAAGTTTGAAAGTAAAATTGAAGAATTGTAGCCTCGACTTCATCAATCAGGAAGAAAGAAGAAACTTACTCTTGCTCTCTCTCACCACACACACTCTTTTTTCTAATCTCAGTAGTTCTTATGAATTCTACAACCACATTTGTCTTAAGCTATAAATCATTGTGTACCTTGTATTTGATTTGATTCTAATAAAGACTTACTGTATTATCCATATGGAAAAATTATACTTTTTAACAATAGAATTGTTTCAGGGCGTCATAGTGTTTCATGCTATTGATTAACTGACCAATAAAGTTATTTTCTTCAAGAAGTATTTATTAGCTTTATCTTAGCCCCAGTGTGATAGGATAAGTTGTGATACAGTGCTATAGGATAAGCACTGTACTTCTAACCACAAAATCTGGTTCAAACCCACCAGCCACTCTTCAGAAACCTTATACAGGGTTGCTATGAGTCAGAACCATTTCGATGACATTTACATCAAC